ATACATCACGCCTCTTGGTATAAGCAATGAGCTTCATGGCAGTTTGAGCCTTAGTAAGGCGACACTACAATAAAGAATGGATCGCCTCTCACGTTGCAAGGAGAGTATCCACTGCTTCCATTGAAGATGAGCCCAAAAGATAATGGGGAATAGTAGGTGGTGGCTTGCCATAGGTGACTTCATATGGAGTGAGACCTGTGCTCGAATGTACAGAGGTGTTATATGACCATTCTGCAAATGCAAGGAAATTAGACCATTGGGAGGGGTGGTCATGCACAAATAAATTAAGATATTGTTCCAGCACACAATTGATCACTTTGGTCTGCTCTTGAGCCTCAAGGTGATAGGAAGTACTCATTCAAAGCAAAATAATACTCTAAATGTGATTCACAATAGCTACTCAAAGTCATTCATATAATTAGGCCTCCTTGTGTTTCTCTTGGGCTGGGGTGGCACTAAGGACTAGGTTGCTATCACCTATTCTGGTAGGTTCACATATTCTGGCCAGGCATATGTGATGTTAGAAGGTCCCACGCCACCTGTCTCAACTCTTGGGGTGCATATTATATATCTGTTAGGAAACTTCACTTAATGTCGATTACTGTTAAGATGAAATCTAACATGCTATCATAGCCTATAGCCCATCTCAGTAATTATCTATTTTGGTAGGCTCACCTGTTTTGGCAGACATCAATGGAGGGGGGTATTGGAAGGTCCTACATCGCCTACCTCAACTCTTGGGGTTCCCCTTATAATCTGCTGGGCAACTTCACTTAATGTCAATTGGTTTTAAGATGAAATCTAACGAGATAAATTCTTAGATGTATTTTTCACTTTTTTTAAGCCTATCTTCAAGTAGTGCACCATAATGATTATTTTGTAGTCTATTTTTCAATTGCAATATCATTAAGATTAAATTAAAAATTTGGTCCCTACATGGAAAAACTCTACATTTTAGTTCCTACATGGAAAAATATTTACATATTGATCCCTGCTATTTCCAAAGTTAATAACAGCATTGAATTTGGTACTTATACTTGACACTTTTTCATTTTAGTCCCACTCAAATATTTTTCACTTTGTTATGGTTATTACATAAAAACTTGTCCATTTTATTTCTGCTGTCTACACTTGACATATTGTTTTCTGTTTTAGTCCTTGTGTGATAACTTCACTTAATGTCGATTACTGTTAAGATGAAATCTAACATGCTATCATAGCCTATAGCCCATCTCAGTAATTATCTATTTTGGTAGGCTCACCTGTTTTGGCAGACATCAATGGAGGGGGGTATTGGAAGGTCCTACATCGCCTACCTCAACTCTTGGGGTTCCCCTTATAATCTGCTGGGCAACTTCACTTAATGTCAATTGGTTTTAAGATGAAATCTAACGAGATAAATTCTTAGATGTATTTTTCACTTTTTTTAAGCCTATCTTCAAGTAGTGCACCATAATGATTATTTTGTAGTCTATTTTTCAATTGCAATATCATTAAGATTAAATTAAAAATTTGGTCCCTACATGGAAAAACTCTACATTTTAGTTCCTACATGGAAAAATATTTACATATTGATCCCTGCTATTTCCAAAGTTAATAACAGCATTGAATTTGGTACTTATACTTGACACTTTTTCATTTTAGTCCCACTCAAATATTTTTCACTTTGTTATGGTTATTACATAAAAACTTGTCCATTTTATTTCTGCTGTCTACACTTGACATATTGTTTTCTGTTTTAGTCCTTGTGTGATGAAAAGTTCTAACATCATTATAACTTTAATAAATGGTATGGACTAACTTGTTAACAATTTTTCATGTAGGCACCAAAATATAGAGTTTTTTTTTTTCATGTAGGGACTAAATCACAAACAAAAAAGTCAGACATAGGGACTGAATTTATAATTTAGTCTTATAAAAACAAAAAATAGCAGTCCATCTGAGTATTTGGGGGCTGGTGTATTAATTGCTTCAGTAGTGTTGAATCTGTTGATAATTTATTGTCTCATTTGGGATGTTTTATGAATGAGCTATTTGGCTATTTTTTAAGTGAATTCACGGGTCTTGTTGAAATTATAGGGATTTAGGTGGAAAAGAGAGGACAAACTCTAAATAAGAATGCACTATCCCTTATTTATCTTAATACTAGACACCTATTCCTAATTATGTAGGGGCACGAATCATGAAATATAAAAATCACCCCGTAGGTAGTCAAAATTCAGATCCTATAGATCCAGAGGGGGGTGAAAATCGAAATTAATTAGATTATAACATGGATTGTAAGATCCTGAACTACAAATTATTTTCAAACATGTATGCATAAAATATAACATAAATAAGGCTCTTAAAATCACTACAAAATTTTTGTAAACTTAGATTGAAAATACATATGAAGGTCAATACAACTCATAAACTTACAAGTCACTACTTAACAATTCCAAATATGAAATGCATCCTCATTACCCTTGGCAGCACTATCCCGTTTGAAGACATTTTGAACCAACACAACTCTGCAAACCAAAATACAGGAGTTGTTTTAACAGAGTAATTGGAACACAGCAAGCTAGAAGGCTGAAACTGAGCAGAAAAAACACCCAAAGGCAGTCAAACATAAACAGAGAAGCTGAACAAGAAAGAAAAGTCTGAGGAATATTCTGTTATATTAGAGTTGCTACTGACTAGCACAATTATCCAAGTGTAATATCTATCAAAGAATTGGTACAATGTTATATTGCAACAGCTTAAGAGGGGGAGACTGTAAGTTACCCTTTAGTTATGAATTGTAATCAAAATTCATGTCCTGATGTCCCTGATTGATACTTTTAAACTGTAAACCCTATTATTTTGTATTAAGAACCAGAGAATAGAGAAGAATAATTGACTGAAACCATGTGTCTCAATACACACTGGATGAATGTTAATATTGATTTATTTCATAGATTATACATGAATATAAAAGATATGATTTTCTATAATCTCTAAGATATTATCTCTACATACTATATTTAAAATCAAGATAAGATAATATCAAGATAAGATGATATCTAAGATTCTTAACATTTTTTTTTTAAAATTAGCTAATTTTATTTGTAAACTGCTCATAATGAATCTTGCATGAGGGTGCCAAAATTATGTGTTGTGTTTGGCTAAATTAAACTAAATGAAGGCATAAATTATTGTCCTTGTGGTTTACTGTATTTTCTTATTCATTATTTGATACTTTCCGATATTGTTTACAGAGTGCTTCTCTCATCTTTTGGGGTTAAATATGTTTTTGGTCTTTGTAAAATGAGCTATTTTGGTTTTGATTCCTAGAACATTTTATTCTTTATTTTTCATACCTTTAAAATTCAAAATCATAGTTCATAGTCATTGTAAAATGAGCAAAGTTTTGGTTTTAGTCCTTGTAATTTTTTTCTGTAGTTTTCACCCCTCCAAAGTTTGAAATAATTTTTTTTATTTCCTAGCATTCATTGTAGGACAGATAAATAACATTTATTTTAGGGTCCAATTTTTTTTGTCACATATGGACATGGCACCACATGCGCATTATTGGGTGCTATTTGAGATGATCACATGACTTGCCAATAAGACACAAGCAATTAATTGATGGCATATGATGGCATGGGCTAGAAGTATTGGATTTAGATTTTAGAGTGAAAACCTAAGAAAATATTATAAGGAGCAAAACCAAAATTTGTTCATTTTATATGAACTAGAAACATATTTAACCCATTTTTTTAAAATATTATTTTATCTTCTGCTTTTATATCTACTTTTAAACCTTATGTTTTTGGATGGTTGTAGGATGATGAATCCTATATCTTACCTGTGCTTTTACGATTTGATGGTCAGCCTGAAGTTGATGAGGAGGTATATTGAGACAATAACTTTTGCCCTTGTTTCCTCTCAAATGGTATTTTATGAGATGATCTTGTATTTTAGTCCTTAGAAATGCTCTTTGTTGCCACTCTGTAGTTGGCATATATAACTTACCTAATTTCTTTAAGGATATAACATACAATTGTTGCCAGTTGCTTTGTTTTTGGGAAAGGCTTTAATTTCTTGCACATACATAATAATGCCTTCTGCCATGAATTTTCCTTGGTTTCAGCTATGAATTATTTTGTTTCCCCTTATTTCCCTCTTTTTATATATACTTGCAGATTGCTTGTTATGCAGGGAAATATTTTGTATAGGTTTCCATCTCTGCAGAGAACAGCTTCTCAAAAGACTAAGAGGAAAGAATATGTTGGAAGGAGATGGTGATGGAAGTAAGTAGGGAGAAGTGATGGATGTTCTT